AGAACTCACGGTCTCCCAGTTTCTAGCCTGGTGCCTTAACCACTACACCAAACTGGCTCTCCATGTGATTTGAAACAAGTAAAAATGAAAAACCTCCTGGTGGTCCTCTTTTTCTCCCATAGTAGCTAACATTGGCTTCTAACTAGGACCCCCAAACTAGTGTTTCTCAAGCTTTTCGTTGTGCAGGATGATTCTAACCACATACTCCCCTTCATTTAAGATTCCAGAACAGTATGTTTAACGAATGCATTTCTGGCAATTATGACTTTTTACCTTGATTAGGCTTTGCGCATTAATCTTTTGTAACGAGGAATCGGGTAGGCTCACATCTTTAAAAGACAAAAGCATTGAATGTGGTGAGTTTTGGCATTTAATCACGTGCAACTAAGATTTTCCAAAGTTGAAAAACTATATTTCCATATCTAGGAAATTCTTGTATAATTTTCAGCAACTTATTCTGGCCTGGTCAACCTGATACCCATTTGGCATACTGACCCAGTTCACTCATTGTGCTAACTATGATTTGTAATTAGGTGGGATGACATAACTTGCTAAACCACATCCAAACAACCTACCTTATGCCTGAGCATAGGCAGCATGAATGTCCATTCTGCCAGTCCTTGAGGCACAGGAAAATAGCCAGGCATGATTTGCACTGCCCCAAAGACCAAATTCTAATATGCCTCGTTACCAAGGCCTGTGAAGAGCCCTGTCCTGACAGCTTTACTGTGGGACAGGTTGAGGCAGCCATTGGCTGATTCCCTTGGCTTTGTTTTCCATCCCACCCACCATCACCAGTTAAAATATCACCAATCAAGCTCCATAGAAGTGTGATGAGGGAGCCCTGGATAGAGACTTTAGCCACCTTACAAGTTGCCCCAAAGCAGGTCACCAGTGCAGAGATGCTCTGCTTTACTAATCTATTGTTTGGGCTCTACTGGAATTCATGTCCAAATACAGTCCAGCTGACAGGTCAGTGGAGCAGAGGAAGAATGCAGGGTGATGTGGGAGGGAATAATCAGAGTCCTGAGAGTACTCCCTCCTACCTCATCCCAAGCCCATCCTCTGCCTCACTAACCTATCTCTTTTGGGCTGTTTTTGGACAGAGATTTACTGGTCCTCCTGTAAACCTGTGGGGTTTACTTGGTTTAAAAGGGGAAACTGATAGAGCTCTTATCTGTTTCACCATAGCTCCACCACAGCTCCCAGATGTTCTCAGCTCCTTAGTTGATTGATTGATTATGTATCATAAAATCTTAGCAACCACATAGATTTTCCCCATGATGATCTGTCCCTAACCTTCAGCGCTGCAAGGGTAACGGTGTACTGGTTAGTAACTGATTGTGACTGGCAGCACCTGGAAGGATCCCATGGAGTATGCAAAATGATGCCCCCCCCCCCCCCCCA